TTCCAACTCCTCCTAGGATTTCCCCCACCCGCTTGGGGCTTGCCTCCATTCCCCAGAGTTTCACCAGGGGGCAGGTTAGTGGCCATTTGTGATTTTAATTTCACCATCTCCATGAAAAGAAATCACAGCAGGGAAAGGAAGGGGTCACAACTGGTTGCTGCTCTTTGAGGTCAGGAAATGGGAAGGCTAACAAAGGAGTTAGAAGAGGGATGAAGCCAATGGCTATGAGGAAGCATCTTTGTCTTTTAAACAACATTTTCTGTAGATATAACACCAAAAGTATTATCAGTCAGATGGTATACAAGTTTAATAAATATTAGAGCCAAAGAAGAATTCTGATGCAGCAGACCAAATACAGATAGTCCTCAACTTACGACCACAAATGAGCCCGACGTTTATGTTGCTAAGTGAGAAATTAGTTAAGTGAGTTATGCCCTATTTTATTACTTTTCTTGCCACCTTTGTTAAGTGAATCACTGCAGTTGTTAAATTAATAACACATCTGTTAAGTCAATCTGGCTTCCCCATTGACTTTGCCTCTCGAAGGTTGCAAAAAGTGATCATATATCCTTGGTACACAGCAAACCGTCATAAACCTGAGTCAGTTGTCAAGCATCTGAATGTACATTAGATGACCACGGGGATGCTGCAATAGTCCTACATGTGAAAAATGGTCATAAGACACTTTTTTCAATGCGGTTGTAACTTCGTAGGTCGCTAAGCGAACTGTTGTTAATCAAAGACTACCTGTATGCTTCTGGACAAGTATCTGACTGTCCACTGCAGCTCTCCAGATATTCCTGGGAAATCCAAAATCAATTTCTATTCCACCCGTATGTCACAACAAACAACTGGTAAGTTAAAGGTAAAGGTTCCCCTCGCACATATGTGCTAGTTGTTCCCAACTCTAGGGGGCGGTGCTTATCTCCGTTTCAAAGCCGAAGAGCCAGCGCTGTCCAAAGACATCTCTGTGGTCATGTGGCTGGCATGACTCAACACCAAAGGTGCACGGAACGCTGTTACTTTTCCACAAAAGGTGGTTCCTATTTTCCTAGTTGCATTTTTTACGTGCTTTTGAACTGCTAGGTTGGTAGAAGCTGGGACAAGTAACGGGAGCTCCCTCCGTTACACGGCGCTAGGGATTCAAACCACCAAACTGCCGACCTTTCTGATTAATAAGCTCAGCGTCTTAGCCACTGATACAACTGGTACTCAGTCTTTAAACATGGATTAGATGATCTATATGGTCCCTTCCATTCGATGCTTCTATGAAGCACTTAGGTATCATAAGTACAGACTTATCAATCTACATCTTGCCCCTCTTTAAAACTTTGAACCTAAAGTAAAAGATTCTAAGGTTTTAGTGTTTTCAAAATTTTCCCTGCAGGCAACTCTTAGATCATTTGCACTGCCATATTAGTACATCTGTAGAGGTAGTTCTCGACATCCATATAGTCACCCTTTGAGATTACAATGGCCACAACTGGTTTTCACACTTACAACTGTTGTAACACCCCCATGGTCATGTGATCAAATTCAGGCGCTTCACAACTAGCATGTATTTATAACTGCACTGTCCTAGGGTTCATGTGATTAACCTATGCAATCTTCCCAGCCAGCTTCTGACAAACAAAGTCAACGGAGGAAAACAGATTCGCTTAACAACTGTATGATTCACTTAACAACTGAAGTGATTCATTTAACAGCATGGCAAAAAAGGTCATAAAATGGGGCACAACTCACTTAACAACCAGCTTGCTTAACAGAAAATTTGGGTTCAACTGTGCTCGTAAGTCAAGACCTGTAGCTCCAATACATATTTTGAGAATGTGGAAACCAAACTTTGGTGACCAGACTTCCAAAGTAATGGGAAATTACTCTTTTCCCAAGAGTTTATGGTTAAGTGAAACATGGCTTTGGTGGTCAGATCCAGCAACAATCATGATCTAACACAGAAGCACTCCCCCACACACAAAAAGCAGCGATTTTTCTGCTCAGAACTTGACAATCTCTCTTAACCTCCCTGGCTATCTTACCTTTCATCTGATTCTCTGCAGCTGTGTCTTGTTCCTTCTCAACCATACCTTTTTTTTTTCTTTTCATGGTTCCTGAGTCACATAGAGCAGCCAAACACACTCACATTTTTGCAAGCCCTACAGGATATAAACATGGCTCTGAGTGAACTTATGCACTGTTGCATAATTTCCTCTGAAAACAGAAAGTGAGGCAGGAAAGATCGATAAAAGAGAAAGAGAGACAGCTTATTAAAACCTTAGATTTCTGGACAAAACTCTTCAGCGCTGTTCTTCTTCGCCATTTTACTCCAGCTATGGAAAATCTCAAATCGCTTAGCAATACGATTCTGGAACAAAGACTATTGATCTCCATCTTGCATCCCTGTGTACTGTTGAATATTTTAAAATGTGTTGTTTGGTCCTAAATATATCAATATTTTAACCTAAAGGAGTCTAAATTAGTAATCCTCAAAGAAAACAGAGGTTGTTAACATTGTTTGCTAAAAGAGGGTAGGGAAAGAAGGATGTCTGTCTGTCTCTCCCTCCCTCCCCCCCTCTCTCTGAAAAACAGCATTTTAGGGGAAACAACATACAGTAAAAAGTATAGTTTTTACTTTAAAAAACTAAATTGTTCACAATACATCAATTAATTTACAAGACAGCTAGGACTTCAGTAACTGAAAGGATGTACTTGCGACTGATTTTGCAGAATATAAAAAAGCATTTCCAGAGGGGATGCAAAAAAAATCTATCTGCATTTCAACTTAGAATTATGATTCTGTTTTTTCCTTACTTAAGAGGCCACTGTGCAAGAATAACCTTGTACTCCCAGGCCACTTATAGCAATAGTATTTAGACATACAGTATATACCACTTCACAGTGCTTTACAGTCCTCTCTAAGTGTTTTACAGAGTCAACATAACCCTAACCCTAACCCTCAACAATCTGGGTCTTCATTTTACCCACCTCGGAAGGATGGAAGGCTGAGTCAACCATGAGCCTGGTGAGATTCCAACTGCCGAATTGCTGGCAGCCGGTAGTCAATCTTAGGCCATGCATTCATTTATTCAACTAAAGAAAATTTAAAATATTTCACCCAAATAAACCAACTGGTTGGATCCATTTACAGGTGAAGCTCAAAAAATTAGAATATCGTGCAAAAGTTCATTTATTTCAGTAATGCAACTTAAAAGGTTAAACTAATATATGNAGTCTTTAGCCCCAGGCCTGTCGGGACAGCCAGGATTTAAGGGCTACGCGGAAGGTCTGGAGAGTGGTGAGGGTACGAATCTCCACGGGGAGTTCGTTCCAGAGGGTCGGAGCAGCCACCAAGAAGGCTCTCCTCCGGGTAGTTGCCAGTCGACATTGGCCAAGTTGGCCATTTACGCCACCAAGTGCAACTTGCTGCACAACAGGAAGCAAGACACATGAATCCAAACAACAACCTTATAGCTTCTGAGCACATGCAGTGAAAGGGAGCTCAGAATATGCCCCAAATCTAGATCTATGTGACAATTCTTAAAAGTATTTTGAAAGTATCTTCCAGCAAAGTAACTGGACATGCAAGCTTTGCACTTTTTATTGAAAAGAAAGTTGACAAACAGGATGTGAAAGCAATGGAATACAGAAGTGCACTAGCATTTAAAAATGAGCATATACTTATCATAATTCTGCATGCAAAGACTGGCTTTATGCTTACATTGCACTTTTAATGCTCCTCTGGATACTTCTGATTGCAGGTCAGGTTTGTTACATCCAGTGGTGGGTTCCGGATTCTGTTCAAACCAGTACGATTGGAACGGCCCCCGACGTGCACCCACATGCATGCATGCAGTGTGCATGCACACACATGCAGTGCGCACATGCGTTGTAGCTGGAAACGACGCTTCTACAAGCCTCCACAATGCTCCAGCTGCTCAGCGGAGCATTGCACAGGTGCTGTATGCACTATGCGCGTGTGCGGAAGCACCGGCAGCTTTAAATCATGGTAAGAAGCGTGGGCGGGCGGGTGGGCCCTCCGTACCGGAATGGTATCAGGTGCTCTGGGCTGGCTCTGGTTACATCTGAATACAGGTAGTCCTCAACTTACAAACAGTTCGTTTAGTGACGATTCAAAGTTACAATGGCCCTGAAAAAAATGACTTATCCCATTTTTCACACTTACAACCACTGCAGCATCCCAATGATCATGTGATCAAAATTCAGATGCTTGGCAACTGACTCACATTTATGACGGGTCATGTGATCACCTTTTGCAAGCTTCTGACCAGCAAAGTCAATGAGGAAGACATATTCAGTTAACAATTCTTACTTGTTACTAACTTAACAACTGCAGCGATTCATTTAACAACTGTCTCAAGAAAGGCCGTTAAATGGGCAGAACTCACTTAACAAATATCTCACTCAGCAACAGAAACTTTGGGCTCAATTCAGGGGTGAGCTGCTGGGGGTTCAGGAGAACCTCTAGCTAAGATTTTGTGCAGTTCGGAGAACCCCCAAATCCTACTCCTGGCTGGCCCCGCCCACCCCTCCCCTACCAGGAGTCCCCACGCGGCCCGTTTTGGATGCAGGTAACAGCAAGGCGTGCGCGGAGGCTCAGGGAGGGCAAAAAACAGGCTCACCAGAAGTTCGGGAAGGCTGGAAACAAATCTGTTTCTGGCCTCCAGTGGGCCTTTGGAGCCTGGGGAGACTGTTTTCACACTTCTGGAGGCTCGAGGAAACACTATGGAGCCCGGGGAGGGCAAAAATGCCCCCCTGCCATGGTGGAAACCGATTAGGCTTCACCCACCATGGCCAGGCCCATCCAGCAACCGGGCAGAGAACTCCTTGCTAAAAATTTTGAAGCCCACCCCTGGCTCAATTATGGTTGTGAGTCAAGGTCTACCTGTATTAGAGAACCCAGTGAAGATTTCAAGGAACTCAGTTCAACAGTAATAGTTACAGATCTGAAAAATTGTGATAGCCCAGCAGCTATAAAAACATACCATGGCAAATCCAGAGAGGAGGGCAGAGGTCCGGCTGGAAGCTTTCAACTTGGCTCGACTCAAGTATAACTTCCTCCATGAAAGGGCCTGAACAGAGTGATGATTGGAGGTGACCAGCTCCAGATAACTACGACGGACCCAGTCCCGGTAATCCATGCCCTTGCCGGTGGGCTCAGCACAACAGGTAGAAGAAGGAGGGTCTACAGGGACATTTAACTCGGAACTCATGATGAAAGTCAAGCTACAGAAATTTTTAAAAATCCAACCATTAGCTACTGTTTATAAATAAAATATAAGCTAGGGTTGATCAAACACTGTTTTAGGCAAGGAGGATTAGTGTTTCTAGAATTACTTTACATATACTAATTTGTATACCCACATATATATTCACTGATTACAAGTGATTAAATAAAAGCATTTATTTAAAGAATTCCCAATGCAACCTGCATAAATGTACTGATTAGTGCATTTTAATGCAGCGCAAGGATTTCAGTCGCAGGAGGCAGAAAAAAGCGAAACTAAAAACTAAAGTAATATAGAAGGGAAATATGAAAAAGAGGTCAGTTGGCATGACAATTACAGGATTAAAATTAATACTTAAGAATGAACCTAAGGTAAAGTCAATCTGCATACCTGTTGTGGCCCAGCGGCCAGCAGAGCTGGCAGCAGACTCAGACAGTGAGGAGGTTGGGGAGGAACATGGGCCAGTCCTGGAGTCTGGGAAAGGCTCTGACGAGGGCTCTGCGTCAGAGGCAGAGAGGGGGCCAAGGCCGTCTGACAGTTATCAGCTGTCTTCAGACTCAGACATCAGTGAGGCAAACAAACAGCTGGAGCCTGTTNCTTTTAAGTTGCATTACTGAAATAAATGAACTTTTGCATGATATTCTAATTTTTCGAGTTTCACCTGTATACTGTCAGAAATCAATCAAATGGGATGTTGGCAATTTTTGTCTTAGGAAATTTCCATTGTTTCCAGTGAGTGTACTTGGCGTTTGGCCACATCTGGATCCAATGGAGAATAAAGACAATAATGTCAAACGCTAATATAAAACAGATCCTTGAAGCACCCAAAAAGCTGACTCAGAGCCAGCCTCATCGTAAGCCACGAGGCTCACTGCAAGCCACTTTTTGCTAGCTGATTTGGAGCTTACCTGCTATACTTCCCATGCCACTGTTCTGAGTGTGTATCACACCACTGAAACAACGTGACTGATGTGCCACAATCTTCTGGCAATTTGCAAGGCTGCAAGCAGTTTCTAGGTCACTTATATACTCTGCTGACTATGGTTCTGCATCTTGCTGCTGTGTCACTTTCTCTTCTCATTTTAAACAAAGAGAAATGGAAATCAGCCATAAGGACCGCCTACATTTTACAGCCACGCTCAGAAAGAATACACAACTAAATCTATTAAAGGGCGGGTGTTTGCTTTTTCCCAATATATGGCTTAGCATATAGGAAAAGCCTGGGTTGCTTAGTTGAAGATTCAAAGAATTGAGCTACTGTAATCTGGAAAATTCAATAGCTCCCTGTTAGAATACAACCAGCAGCTGCCAACATCTAAATCAGAAGCTGACGAACCAGATAGGAAAAAAAATGATGTGATGTGGAAGAAAAGAGTTTAATAAACTGGGAGCCACAAGAGAAATGGACTTGATCGTAATTGCCCCCTGCCTTTCCTCATCTCTAATACTTCCAGTCCTCGACTTCTGACCATTTGTCTAATGACAGTTCGAATAAATAATAGCCTTGGATTTCAGAGTTTGTAAAGCACTTCCAACTGTCACAAAACACTGCACTACACCTCCCCACCCCGCAGTCATGTGATTGTAATTCGGATGCTTGATAATTGGCTCGCATTTACCAGCTGTGGCCTAGTCATGTAATTGCGAATTGTAATTATTTTTGTCGGTTTCTTGTTAAAAAGCCACTGGATTTGTACTTACAACTGTATGAATTGATTTACGACTGCAAGGTGACTTGAATTACGACTGTAGTAAAAAATGGTTCTAAAATCAGGTTGGTTCCATGGTGACTCAACTTATCATGCAATGACCTATGACAGAAATGCCAGCCCCTTTTGTGGTTGTAAGTCATGGAGAATCTGTAGTAGTATCAATTATAATGTAAGTGACACTATAGTAGTATCAATTAAAATGCTGCACAACAGCCAGGCTCGTATGGCAGCCACTGAATATCTGGTTGAATCTCACTTATTTAAAACATCATACAAGTATGACAGTGCTCCAGATTCTGCAATTTAACAATATATGAAATGAGATGTCAAGGGGACAAAGCTAGTCCTTTTTTAGCAGCCACAATTGAGACTGGTCTTGGCACCATGTTTCTGTAATTTTTTGCCCAACTGTGGGGCAGCAGTAGCCTTTGAAATACTGCTGGCTTGTTTTTTTCCAGAGAAACAAACAGAACAACAGAGTAAGAGTTGGAAGGGATCTTGGAGGTCTTCTAGTTCAACCCTCCCCACCTCCTCAAGCAGGAAATCTTATACCAGGGGTGTCAAACACAAGGCTTGGAGGCCAGATCTGGCCCACAGGGTACTTAGATCTTTCCAAGTAGAAATTTTAAACCTTTGGGAGAGAGAGAAAGAAAAGAGATTGAGAAGCCAATCATTTCTTCCTAACTGTAAAATGACTTGCAATAACAGCTTAATGAGATTTTGAGAATGTAGCAGTTGAGATAGGTCTCTGGCTTCATGAGTTTTGACTGCGAGAGACCAGGGGTGGGCTGCTACGGGTTCGCCCGGGTTCGGGAGAACCCCCTAGCTAACATTATGGCCAGTTCGAAGAACCTCCAAATCCTACCCCTGGCTGGCCCCGCCCACCCCTCCCCTCCCCTCCCACGAGTCTCCACGCGGCCCGTTTTTGGATGCAAGGTAAGTGCAGGGCCCGCACGGAGGCTTTGGGGGGGGGAAATGGGCCTTTGGAGCCTGGGGGTAGGCAGTTTTCGCCCTCCTAGAGGCTCAAGGAAAGCCTCTGGAGCCTGGGGAAGGCGAAAACACCCCTCCCCCGCTGTGGTGCAGGAGGCCATGGCCACACCCACTTAGCAACGGGGCAGAACAACCCATTGCTGAAATTTTTGAAGCCCACCCCTGGGAGAGACCATTTGGTTTTGCCACAAGTCATGCCAACCAGGCTCTCTAGAGACGGGGAAACATTTTGAGAACACCAGAGCACTTGAAGCTGGGTATGGTTGTAGTTGGTATCTCTGCTTTAAAGCCAGAAGGGAAACAATGGTGTAAAGGTTCATGAGCAACAAACAACGAAGAATGGAAGAAAATATCTTCATTACCCAACCTTTCCCAGTTGGGGAATTCTGGGAATTGGAGTCCACATATCTCAACACTGTCAAGCTTGAGAAACAGATGATGCTGTGCTTTTATTTCTTCAAAGTAAATTTTCTCCAACACCCTCCCAATTTGCACAATTATTGAAAAGAAGGAAGGGAGAGACTAAAATATGGCATTTCTCCAAGGATACTCAATGGGTTTCTTATCTGACAGCATTTACTATCACACTAGAAAGCTTTTCCCCTCCCTGTCTTCACACTCACACTTGCCATCGGAGACCAATTCCCTTTTTATTTCGGAGCAAATGTTGAGGACTATTTATTTTATTTCTCTAGCTATCCTACTCAACCAAGTGATTCTGGGAGGCTTACAATTCTAAAATTCTAAAACAATGACATAAAAAACATTAAAACAATAAAAATATCCACAAAATGAATAAGCAGCAGCTGTGAACTAATAGTAAAGTCAAATAACAAGGCCCTTTCTGAGCCCCAGGCCCTGGCACATTTTTAAAACTTTGGGAAAAGCCAACAGTACTGGAACCATTTTAATCCCCAAACGGAGAATATTCTATTAGGCAGTGGCTACAGCAGAAAAAGCCCATTTTCTAATTCCCAAGAGTCAACACTCTCTGGCAGCCAATCTGTTGGACTGGATTGAACAGGTAAAATTCTTGGAAAAAAATAGCCCTTCAAGTACCCCGTCAATGTTGGTTGCAGATTCCTACCTCCAACATATCATATTCTAAGGTCATCATAGGATGTTTCACATGTGCAGGATTATTTTTGTTTTGACACAGTACATTTATTTAAATTAGGTAATAACTGGCCATTAGCTGACCAAGAAGAGAATTCTGCATCCTTTTGCCACCATCATGTACCCACCACTGAAAATTTGTAACTCCACATCCCTCCCTGCAAAGAGATTTGTTTATTCCAGTATCTCACTCCTGAGAATACTGTGGACAATCCAGAAAAGAAACTGATGCATCATTAACCACATCAACCCAGAGTTATTATTCAAGGCACAAATGTGTCCTGCTTTGGACACATTATGTGAAGAGCCAGTTCTCTGGAAAAGGCTCTGAGGCTGAGAAAGGTGGAAGGAAAGAGAATAAGACAACGACCAGCAGCAATGTGGATGGTCTCAATTGCAATGATGATGAGTGCACCATTGGGAGACTTAAAAGACCAGGTTAGGGAAGACTGCCATGGAGAAAATCTATCTATGCGGTCGCCAGGAGTCACCATGGACGATGGCACCTCATCAATCAATCTGAAACGGAGCACTGTTTTTCTTGCTAGAAATACACCCATCAATATGCTGCCCACATATAATTATGGAAATTACTCCACTACACAGATGCAAATAATCAAGTGACAAATAGATTCTTGTGTTTCCACCTTTCCCTGGTGGAGTTATTGTGATTAATATTACCTGCTTTTAGCTATCTTTCCCTGTGTTGTAAATTCTTGCGTTGGACTCCTTATCCTGTCAATATCAGAGCACTTCTGGGTGGGGCATCTTGCCGTGTGGGCAAACGTTCTCACAACATGTTGATTTCATGCAGAGAATATGATGTGACTTACAACTTAATGATCAGGCATGCTAAGTCTATAGTGACTTGCCTAGGAATAAATCTCATAAGGCTATTTTCTCTCTTTTATGCCATCCAAAAGCTAGCAAACAAGAAAACAAAATGAGAAGTGGGGGGGGGAGAATATTTAATGCAATGCTTGCAAGCACATGTTGAAGTTGAATTGGAAGACTAATAACATACTGAGCAAATGGTATAGAAAAAATATGCAGACACACGTATACATACACACCCCTGCCAGGAAATATATATATTTTTTCCATTAAAATTACAGCACCTTTCCCCCAATCTGGATTGGATAACTACTCCATCCTCCCTCAGCAGCTAATATCACCCAATATATTTTATCAGAAACCCTTTGGGGGGAGCCTGATCCAGCTAAAACAAGATTTTTAGAGATTTCAGCAGAGAATATCTGAGTATCTCATCTTGAGTATTAAACACTTACCTATTGAAATCCATAATTCTCAAACGGAGCTCACATCTGCATTGTGTTGGGCTGATCTTCTGAGACCTTCCAGGCACACATGCGTGAACACCCTACACCACGCAGAGGGGGGCTTCTAGCTTTTAAAAGGTACTTCTCACTCCAGATACTTCCTGCCACTGGGAGCTGCTTCTTTGTTTCAAGTCCATTTTTGATGCTGACACTCAGCTGGTTCCTATTACAAAGGCTGAATGCTCTTAGCATTCCCCAATCAATATTGCTTCCTCATTGCCTATTTCAGATAGTAAGCTCTTAGCACATACGGACCACTCCTTTTCGCCTATAAAACTTTATAAAGCAGTACGGTACATTGCTGGCCCTTAGAAATGACAGAAAAAGATGTTGAGATGTATAGGTATATAGCAGTGATGGTTAACCTTTTTGATGCGGAGTGCCCAAAGTGTGCGCACAAATGCACGCACCCATGCCCCAATCCCCAAAATGCAATGTGAGCACTCCCCGCGCTTGCAATTTGACTCTCCGCGCATGCGCCCTGGCCCTCATCATGCCCCATTTTGGCTTCCAAATTGGTGGAGAATTTCCAGCCCCAAAACGAGTGTCGCACGAGCCCTCCCCATGCCCTGTTTTGGCTTCCAGGTTGGTGAGGGCGGCAAAAATGGAGGAGAAAGGTAGGGCATGCTGGGGGTTGGGGGAAAACCTGGGGGGGACCCAAAAACCATCTGGCCAGGGGGAGGCACGCGTGCATGCGCCATAGAGCTGGACTGGGGTGACGGCTGGTGTTCCAGCAGAGAGGGCTCTGCATGTCACCTGTGCCACATGGGTTTGCCATCACAAGTATATAGCAATGTAGTTTTAGAGATTAGATAAACCAAAACTATAAGTTACAATCTTATGGTAAACTCCAAGGTGGAAGTAAATGGCTGTGTGTTGGCAATAAGCCAGAGCTCTGTCAAATTCAATCCCATTTTTTCCCAAAGGGTTAAACAGAATTTGACCTGAGTCTTTCAAAACTCACAATTAAGATAAGTGATACTGGATTGCTGCCACAAAATACACAAACTGTTCCTTTACTCCTGTAAACATACAGTATATATTTAAGATTTTGGGGAGTAGAATGGTTTTTATAGAATTGTGGGACATAAGGGTTGAAAGGGACATTTGTGATCATCTAGTCCAACCCCGTCTAATCCAGGAATCCACCACAACACTACAGTATAACTTCTCCCCCCACCCCATCTTTTAAAGAGCTACAGCTTCATTTGCCCATTACATTAAGCTTGGTTAGTGTTCACTTTTGTTAAGTTCCCAGGACTTTAATATCTTCTGTAAATCCAGTCTAGTTAATTTTGTCTTTCGCAAACCCAGAAAATGAATTCAAAAGCAGCTTAAGAATACTGTGGAAATGCCTTTACTTATTAACAAATTGCGGAGGCGATGACTTGAAAAGTATTCCCAGCAAGTGAAGTAGGCGGTTATGATATCTACCGGTATGTAGATTCTTGCAGGCAAGGCAGTTTATAAAAATAATAATAATTTTACGGTAGTTTATTATCAATTATTATTTGTTGCATTACAGTAGAAATAACGTTACTTGCAGGCCGACCTCTACATACAACCTTAAAGTTCAGATTTTATGACTCCGTTTGCAGAACACGGTTCCTAGTTCAACCACTTTCCACACAATACACTGAACACAAGCGGGTTCTGGATTCGCGGCACCCACTAAGCCACGAAACACAGAAGCAGGCTTAATGCTAATCTAAGTTCAGCGTATTTTGCCGCCTCCCGGAGTCTTTACTTCGGCTGAATAAACGTGTCCAGCGAACAGGAGGACCTCGGTGCAAAGAGGAGGAAGCTCTTCTGGACCCACCCACGCCTTGGCAAAGCCGCCGCTTTTTTTGCGTCGTGGCGGACAGAGCCTCCCGCCAGCTCTTACCTACCTCTTTGTGTATCTATGAATATGCGAATATGCAAAGTAGGCACCCACCTCCACCCTCCTCCCCCCCCGCGCGCCGACTTACCCCATGGACGACGGGCGGCAGAGGCGGCGGCGGCAGCTGCAGGAACGCCAGTGCCGTCGCCTGCGGTGCTGCCAAGGCAACGCCAAGGCCTTGTCACGTGACCTCGCGATAGTAGCAGGCATGTGACGGAGGGAATAGCTCACTTTTCCTTCTCCCGCTTAAGAATTTTCATATATATATGGGGAAAAGAACCGACTCGAAAGGAACATTTCCCATTATATCTATCTGTGTGTGTGTGTGTACACATACATACACACGTACTACATATATATCACGTACTAGATACACACACACACACACACACACATATACATACATCATTTATACACACACACGTTTTCATAGATTTTCACAGGTGTAGGTATGGTGGTCGTCTTGTATTCGGGTCTTTTCCCGTTTAAGATTGAGATTGTCTTGGCAACGTTTCGGCGAGTTCTCACTCACCATGTTCAGGCTGGGTTTGGGGCTTAAAGTGTGGTGGGAGCTGCCATCTTTCTATAAAAAAGGTAGATAAGATGTTTGCATTGAACAGCTTGAATGTCCATAGTTCTTGGCTCATTTCATCATTATCTTCCACTTCAATTTCATGTTCATCATCTGTACCAACTTCTGTCTTATGCTGTTCAATTCAAACATCTTATCTACCATTTTATAGAAAGACAGCAGCTCCGACCACGCTTTAAGCCCAAAACCCAGTCTGAAGATGGCGAGTGAGACCTCCACGAAACATTGCCAAAATAATCTCAATCTTACACTGGAAAAGACCCGAATACAATACAAGCCTTATATTAATCCGAGCATGTGGAAAACGCATTTGAATTTGGAATTTTAAAAATGGACTAAGACCTAAAATTAGTCCTGAAGCAATAACATTCCCTCTCCTCAAACCAATCAGTCAATATTTATTTAATCCAATTTTAACAACACTTAAGTGTGATTTTTCTAGAGCTTGGCACAACTATTCTAAAATTGGCATGAATTGGTCCCCAAAGACCTCTGTTCCCAAGTAATACCATTTATTTTGCTTTTTCCACAGAACCTGTCCCTAAAGGCTCATAACTAATTCTGTCTCAAAGGAACCCAGCTTTGGCTTGAATAGATTTATTTTTATACAAACTATAATGAACAAATTAGGCATAGTTGGCCTATAAATTGAAGGCTGCAGAAAGGCATTTGATTTCTCTCTTCAATGCAGAAAGGATTTTAACTTCCTGGTAATCAGTTTCTGCATCAACACACACCTGAGTCAGAAAACAATTTCATCAGACATGAATCAGTTAAATACTAGGATGTGTTCTGTTGCAAAGTTAAAGTCTTTATTAGAATTTTTTTATCAGTATCATTTTTTTATATTACAGTTTTGTAGATGAATCAAGTAAAATGGGAGTCAGAGAAGCTCCTATTTTTGCATAGGCCTCAGCTGCAAGTCACACATTAGGTGAAAACATATTTGATTTTGGCAGACCATGTATATAAACATAGCTGATTTACCACTCTGTAGGAATGCGACAACTATAAGATGGAAAACCCACTTAAAGATTATACCANATGATAATCTAACTAGTTTCCTCCTCTTGCTTTTTTAATGTTATCACATTTCAGAACCTAAAAAGCCTCCGGTATTTGATGTACCTCTTAAACCACTCACAATAGATGAAGGCAAGATCCTGCAACTTGCTTGTCATGTAGTTGGATCACAGCCCATTAAGATCCAGTGGCTCAAAGCTGGGAGAGAGCTTAGATCAGTGTTTCTCAATCTTGGCAACTTGAAGATGTCTGGACTTCAACTCCCAGAATTACGCAGCCAGCGAATCTGGCTGGGAAATTCTGGGAGTTGAAGTCCGGACATCTTCAAGTTGTCAAGGTTGAGAAACACTGGCTTAGATCCTCTGATAAATGCAGCTTCAGGTTGGCAAATGGAACAGCTCTCTTAGATCCAAGCAGTTACTAAAACTGATTCTGTGGAATATGTGTGCAAAGCCTCAAACGCAGCTGGAAGTGATTCTTCTAAATCAAAAGTGGCAATGAAAGGTACAGTTAAATTGAATATTTAGAGAGAAAACAATTCAAAGGCTTGATCTCCATCGCTCGCTCGCTGTTTCGCATGCCCAGATTGCCTCATCACCACTCTGGCTACCTACGTCCATCCTCGCCCGGCAGCTGCAGCGACGTTGTCCAGACAAAATGGCTTGGAAGTGAAGGGTCCTCGGAGCCCTGCCTAAGCAGTGGCAGGGCCCTCTCACAGCCAGGCTCTTCCCTCTCGCTCTTCATCTTGATGATGTTGCTGCAGCTGCCAGGCGCGGATGGACGGAGGTAGCCAGAGTGGCACCGAAGCGGTCCGGGCAGGTAAAACAGCGAGCGAGCGATGGAGGATCAGGCAGCCTGATCCTCGCTTGCTTGCTCACTCGCCGGGAGGTGCAGATAAGACCGCAAAGTCCAGTGGAGGCAGGAAGGATCTCGGCACTCCGGGAAGCCACGAAAGCAACTGGGGAGCGCCAAGAACCTTCCTACTGGACTTTGCGCTCTTCTCCATGCGCTCATTGTGACTGCAATAATGTCCAGAAGTGGTTTTTGGGGCCTGGGCTTCCAGCTCGACAGCCCCCGCCGCTTCTGGACGTCTATTGTAGTCACGAGGACTGCGCAAAGAGTGCAAAGTCCAGTGGAGGCAGGAATGCAAAAATGACACCTACTACTCCCTTGCAAGGGAGCGAAGGAAACCACCTGGGTCTCTGCTCCCCGCCTCACCTGTCTGGAGCCGCCAAAAGCTTTAGACTCTGGCGGCGGTGCTGGTTTCCCGCCACTTCTGCATCTCTGAAAGGCGACTCCGCATTCTCCCTTTCCTTCGCCCCTCCTCCCTTCAAAAGCTGTGAGGCACTTTCTTAGTGCTGGTTGCCCAGCTGGCATGGCCCCGCGTGAGCACCTCCTCCTCCTTCCCCCTCCCCAAAGGCTCTTCTCCTTCCCGGAGCTAAGCGGGAGTCAGGTACAAGGGATGGGAGGCTGCTTCTGAAACCACACCTAGGAAGGGAGGTGGAAAACCAGTGGGGGGGCGCCCTGGAACGCCCCCGTGCTTTGCTGGCGGCCATGCCTCCTAGGCAAGTTCAGGGAGGCCCTAGAAGGCTGGCTGCGCCGCACAAGCTACCACATGCCAGCGGTGACGGAACGGGCGGGAGAAGCGATCAAGGGGGGCGGGGCAGGTGCTCTGTGAGGAACCTCTTCTAACCGGTTCGGTAGATTTGTGGAACCTCTTCTACCGAAGAGGTTAGAACCGGCAGAAACCCACCCCTGATTAATTCCCAAGATTATTGTGTGTCCTTTAATGTCCATTTACATTTTTAATTGTATGTTTAATGCATGTGATTAAAGCCTTTATTTTCAACTCCCAACCTAAAAGGAAAAAAGCTGAACCATTATTTTTCCAGATCCTTTACAAGTTTGTAAATAAAATTTATTCTACTGCACATTAAAACTTTTTCACAGTTTTTAAAAAATTGTATTTACAAATTAACATTCAGTTTGCAGCTTTTGGAGGACTTTCCCCCCTTTGTTTTAATTGGCACAGAAAAAATTAAAATCCATAACTTTTTCATTACCTAGTTAGTACCACCAAATGATTCTTCATTATGGAGAACATAGGTGATTGATACAAGCTTCAATAACATTGTTTGTCATGAGATAATTACACAAATGACATAAATTATGAAATCATGGTAACTATGAAAGTCACCATTGATTCCTTGAGTACATATTTTTTTAAAAAAGAATCTGAAAATTAAGTCTGCATTTAAAATCTCCCCTTGTATTATATTATATTCCATGTATGAGTCTTTTATACTTTTATTTAGAGGAGAAAATATGGATTTTGCTCTAAAAATCATGACTTTTTTTTAGTATTGTGATGCTCAAGAAGCATCATTTTTATCAGTGTTTTTAAAAAGAGAAATACATTCTTAGTAAATTGTTTTTCCAAATTTTCCTATGAAAGCAAAGGCTAAGAAATACAATAGTGTTAAAAATCAAATTAATTTGGTTTATTTTAGGCCAAAGTTGCAAAACCTATAGCCTTCCAGATGTTATTGAATTAAAATTCCCAACATCCCTCACAGATTTCATGCCAGCTCCAACAATAAATCTCAGTTCTTCAAATACTCCATTCTCAGGAACTTGCTTACAACTGAAGTTCACAGGGTGTGTACAATATAAAACCTATATGATAAAACTCACAACATACATTTTGTATCTGAGCATGTTTAACTTTTCTGTCTAGCTGTTTGCCAGTGACAACTTTGTTTGAACATTCAGGGCATAAATTTACTAGCTTTGCAATTAGGTCTAGCAGTCTTAGGCAGTCTCTTGAACCTTTTAATTTGTGAACTATTAACAGTGACTTAGTCTGCAATACAAAAAAAATACTGTATTGAATATAGTGCTTAGTCAAAAAACATTGCACTAGTTATGTTCTGAATGAATGTTCTCTACTATGATTTGAAAAGAATTTCAGTGTTAAGAACAAGTCTTAGGGCAGCATAGTGATTTCCTCCCCATGACCAATTTCTATTCCTTGGCAATTCAAATGGTTGCAGAGTTTATATGTTGCAACTCAAGTGGATGCAGTTTTCTGGTTTATTTTCTGTATTTTATAAAATATTTTTTTACATTACATTTTGCCTTTAAACTTTTTTCCTAATACTTTAGTGAGTTTGACATTGAAGTATTATATTAATACAGAACTGTGTAATCATTTTCATGTAAATCAATCAGGAAAATTCTGTAAACTAGCGAACTATAGATTTATTGGAAAATAGCTACATTTTTCCATCTCTTTGTTACAAGCAAATTTCATTCTTTAAGATTAAGTGATGGAATACATCAGGAGCTTCCAAAATATATCTAAAATATCAAACTGATTTTTTTTCCTATGGCTCTCAGTTCATAGAATTTCAGAGCTCCATGCCGTTATTATTATTTTTTTTTTTGAAGAGTATATTTCAAAGTTTTTCATGTAAACTCATTATTTTTCAGTTCAGTTCAAAAGATGTTTAGGGATTCTTTTTTAATTGAAACGACTGCCATTTCATTAATGCCAAATTAAAATTAAAAGGNCCCCCCCCCCGCACTGATCAGCCAGATAACCCTAGAAAACTCATGACAGTGAGTTTAACAGTGCTGAAATATATAGCGGAGTGAGTATGAAAGATCTATTTATCTTAAATGGCTACATGTTTTTGGCAGGCAAATTCATGGATGAAAAGTCCATATAAAATGCAGTGTGTATCCTTCAGAGGCAAACAAAAACACATGGATGTCCTCTTTTATTCAGAAATGTTTATAATAAAAATGAACAACACACTTTTGAAGTGAAACACTAGATCTTCTTAGTTGTTGGAAAATCTTATCTTGCAGCAGAAATGCAAGGAATAAAGGCTAATTTAACAGAGACTCCTCAAGAAATTAACTTTTTTTCCTCCAGGAAATAAAGGCTATTTCCTCCCTCAAAGTCAAGTCCATTTTTCAGCCACATAACTCCATTTTATATATTTAAGTCTCTCGGGAGAAGATCTGCTTACAGACATAAGCTGATGAAGAAATGTCACTTTGGAGCAATAGCAGAGGAATTAAGAGTTACATAATGCTGACACTTTTCCCTGAAACCCTGCACAGCAGTTATACAAGAAAGTTTGAAATCAACTTTCATTTGATTTGGATCCAGCAATGATATTCCATGGGACTGTTATGGCCATATCAACAATGCCACAATAAAGTCCAAAAGAGCAGAAAAACCCTCTTGTTCAATTCAGTTTCAGTTCAATGCTAGCTGGCTATTAACTACAGTAGCACAGCAAGACCATCATCTCTTCATTACAAAGGTGGTTTCCTTCCCGTCATCTTTCTCTTCTTCCTCGGAAGTCTCATCTTCACTGGTCTGCTGTTTGGGGGAATGATCAGAATCCGCAGCTGTAAAATGCAAGTATAAGAGAAAAGAAGGTCTGGTTAAAGTAATGAAAGTTTAATATACTGGCATTCATTACCATCAGAACCAAGCAGAATTTTACATTCAAAAGCGGACTGCATCTGAAAGGAAATGGTATTCTTTTTATGTTAGTTAGCATGATGGTGTAAGATGATTATGCCACCCTGGGGGCGGCAGTGACTTGGGCACACTTTCACTATCTCGTTAACAATTTAGGCTTCTGCATTTTTTAACTTTGATTTTTACTTGTAAGTTTTTACTTGTTCTTAATTCTGTTTTAATCTGTTTTTATTCACTTGTTTACGTGGTTTTATTATGTTGCTATAAACCACCCAGAATCACTTATTTAAGGTGGGAAGAGTAGAAATTTAATACATAATAATAATGTAAAAATACTGGAAACCTCTGCAGACTTCTTAGAGATCTAGTCCACAGTCTTCCTCAAATTGGATTCGTCTTTCTTCCTCAAGTTGGCAGGCTTGGATGTAATCAATCTCTCTCTTTTAGGCTGACCTCAAGCTTACAACTTTTGAGTTACCTGCATGTTCATCCTTTTGCTCAACTTTATTTTTCTTTGCCAGCAATTTCTTTTCTTTCAATTTCTGACTGCAAAAAAAGAAAAAGAGAAATTAAATACTGATTAAATGGGCAACTTGTTTTAAACTTTGCAGTTTTTACTCCAATTTTAGTAAAGATGTAAGGTTCAAATATAACCTTTAATTTGCAAACAAATTCCTATTTAATTGAAATAGTTGAAAATAGCTCTTAAATGTTTTCTCTTCCATCTCTTCTATTCTGGCTCAAAATCCAAAATATTGGGTTTATCTTATTCATCTTATTCTTTACATGATGCTGGACCAGGAAAGCTGGGCTATAAATGAATTGCTGTTTCCAGCAGCTTGCAAAGACCTGTGGCCACCCACAGGTAAATATATGAATTGCATCACATAATTTGTATCATCTCTTTTAAATGAAAGCGTAATGTAAATTTCAGTCCTTTCAGCCACATATTTTCCCATTGTGCCATCGGTATATTATGTCCAAAGTTCTTAGCTCATTTCATCATTATCTGCCACTTCTTTCACTTCAATTTCATGATCATCATCTGTAACAACTTCTGTTTTATACTGTTCAGTTCAAACATCTTATCTACCTTAAATCTTTCTCTTTAACTGCATATAAAACCATTAAAAAATAAATCCTTCTGTAGTCAATGGACTTCTTGATTTTGTCTTATTTTCACCTTGCTCTTGTAACAACTCTCACTAGGTTAATTATCTCACTTTGCCAGCTCTTTCCTATAAATTGCTTTTTGGACTGAGACTGATAAAGGCATTTTCGGACACAATTTGGATTTATCTCTATTCCATATTCTCAATAAGGCACTTCTATTATAGTGATTTTTAAAAGCTGCATTAAATTTAACTTTATTGTATCACAGAAATCCATGCTATCAAAATCTTCAGCCATGCCTTTCTCTGTCAGAATTCTCTTTTTTCTCTCAGCATCATCCACTCTTTCATCCAAAATAGGAGAAGATTGCAAAATACCATTTTGAATCAGTCAGTCCCAATTCTCCTTGTTCCTTTGCATCTTACAACACTTTATATTTAATCCTTGCCTTTTTCCCTTAAAAACTAAGATGTATCTTTTTGCCATTGCTTAAATGGCATATCAGTTGTCCAAATAGGTATTAAAAAAGAACATTATTCTAAGCAACACTCATTTTATCACAGAAATTCTTGGCAATAATAACAGTAATTTCTCTCATCTTAGCATATCCTTTTTAATTTCATTTTATGTTTTAACATAATTGTTTTGAAATAACATACAATTCATACTAAAACCCAAATGTAGTATTTTACCTTTGCCTCAATTTTAAAACAGTATTTTTCATCAAATCTTTTTGTTCTTAAATCCTCATGTTTTTTTTGCTAGCATCTTCATTTTCATTACTAATTTTAAGTGAAGGAGATGGCCCAAGTTTAATTTTGAACTTAAGAAACTCAAATTCCTGGTCAAAAATAAAGAAAAGACAAGCATGATATAAGGCTCATGATATAACCCTCAATTAGGGCAATGCAGAAGCTAATAAGACAGCATGAGATCCAATTTAGTTATTAAATTTTTAAATGGAAAAATTAAATTGGAATTAAAAAACAGTTTTGCTATAGCTAATACAGAAGCCCTTTAGAGTTTCTGTATCAGCCACCAAGAAAGCCTGACCTTACCGCTTCTTTCTACGTTTGGCTGTCTGTTCTTCTGCAACCATCTTATTCGTTTCAAGCTTCTTCTGATATTCTTCATCTAATTTTTGCTAAAAGAAATAGATGCAATAAATTAAATCTGAAATTATAAACAATTCAATGTAAGTATATTTATACAATTTACCAAAAATTCATATTTCAAAAAAAGCCATCTTATTCACCATAATGCTACCTGGATTTGCATAAAGTATCTTTGAATATACAAAAGTTATTTATTTATGTCCTGGTTCTGGACTTCTCAGACACATAGCTGGATGTATTGGGAATAGAACGATCCATGTGTTATATAACAACATGGTCATCAAAAAAATAAGGAACTATATTTTTCTGCACACTCAGAAGATAAGTACCCAGGAAACAATTAGCTTGTAAATATAAGTTTTGTACATTTTGAAGGGAAGGAAAAATGGGCTAAAAAGGGGGAAAAAATCAGTAAAGTTTTCTGATGAGAAGAAAAGAGCAAACAAAGAAAAATGAAAGAGAGAGAAAACGTACAAATGCCTGCATCAGTATTTAATACTTTGTTCTTGGAGAGGATAAAAGAGGGAAGGGAAGAGAAGGGAGAAAGTAGACCTCTTTGTAGTTTACATAGCAGCAAGGATTCTCGAGGTAATCAATATTAAAGCTTTTGAGGAAAAGTCATTTTACCTTCTCAGCCATGGCATCCATAAAATCTTGTCTCTGATATTCCCGCCGCCGAAGATGTCGATAGACATGAAATTCCCCACTTCCAGCCCCAGCACTGGAACCTGTCGAAAAAGAAAAGGTAAAAATATATAGGGCTGAAGCAAAATATTCCATCTCAATCTCCAACAGTTTAAGGGTCCCAAACAGCTAAGTTAGGTAAAGTCTCTCTTTAAATCTTTGGAAAGTTGTTACCATTAGAAGAAACAAGTTGGATCCAAAACAGTGAAAATTATTTCATTCCACATAACTTACCCCAAATCTAACTGCCAAGAATTTGTGATGTGGTTTCACACCATTTGGACATAGGAAATACACGAGCATTTCAATATAACCACAATATAACAGATCAAGTATAATCAAAACTATAAAACAGCTCAAAATTCAGGAGGAAAAAAAATTAAAATCCTGGCTAGGCTCACTTGTATGATCACTCTACTTGCTAGGCCCCACTACCAATGGTAAATGTTCCCATGTTCATTGTCACCTATAGTGATCCCCATGGCAACTTTAAAAAAAATACATATATATGACATATTATGAATTTGAAATTACTTAAGAGACTGAATAAAATAGTCATGTGAACCTTATGACCTTTTCACATGAGATTTTCTATGAAGCATATGCTACTTTATGAAAAATTAAATACAAATGGAAATATAGGTTATTTTTCATTTTCCTAATACCAGCTCAGAATGAACTTATGTGGTCATTTAGAAAACTGTTCCCTCCTTTCACTGCTCTACCTTTCTTATACCTCCTCTAGCTAAAAAGGGCAAATGTGATGAGTTATGTTCCTAAATTTGTTGTAATTACACTCTTTGTCTTGACAAAGGCTGTTAATATTCCCAAGGATGAATGGAAAAAGTTTTAAATTTGTTACAAGTAGAGGACTGTGCATTACATAATGTAAACACATGTTTTATAAATTATTTTGCATAACTTACCCTAAATATGTTAGATATGAAGATCAATTACATGAAGCATTGAAGTAAATCATGCAAAGCAAAGCCCCAGTCATCTTATTCAGCAAATGTCTTTGGTTATCCACAGTGCAGGTATTTCTCATCATCTATGCCATAAGAGTTACTTTACCTTTGCTTTTAAGTAAAAGGCAAGATTTTGAGAAAGCAGCACTTTGTTAAAATCATACTATAAATTCACATCCCTGGCTACCAAAATCTCAGATTTTCTCTGCAATATCTCACAACAAACAGAGGTATAAGTCATTCTTCAAAATCTCTTCATTTACAGTTATAAAATTGAAACATTGTTTAAGAATCAGGGGATTCATAGTTGTAAGTATCTCACTACAATAATATCCATGGATCAGAGAAATTTAGTGAGTTTATACAATACAATAGCAGAGTTGGAAGGGACCTTGGAGGTCTTCTAGTCCAGTGTTTTTCAACCTTTTTTGTGCCAA